TGGCCATGAGAAGTTGAATTTCAAAGCTTTGCGGATGGGACCTGTTGGCATCGACATCTATGGTTCTCGCTGCCATTCAAGCAGCCAGATGGTTAAATTTATGGCTGTTCCAAATCCCCGTTGCTCCTCAACAGTTGGACACTATTATCTAGACCTTGTTGAAAAACATGGTGGTATGTTTCCCGATTGCCTTTTACAAACCTCCTTCCAATTCTTGTTCAGTTTTTGTCCAGGCCACAGTGGATGGGGGGTCAGAAACCGGAGAACTATACACCTGCCATGTTGTTATGCGGTGGGTGTGCTATTCTACCTAGTTTTTCATTGACTGACATGAACAAATAGGCAACAGTGTATGCCGGAGCTCTCACTGCAGGAGGCACCTGCCTTTGTTGCCCTCAAGAGCACTGACAACATTCCGATTGAGTCTTCATCGCATCTCTTCACCAACTATGTTGGTCTCGACCTCAAGGAGATTATCCTCCTGGGCAAGAGTCAAAGCTATTTTAATCCTGCTTTCCCACTTCATATGTGAGTCTGGTATATTTACTTTTGCATGCTCGGGTCTGATCAAGTCAAGTGATTTGTTCAACCGGTTGTGGGCAAAGATAGTCCAATACAGCTTGGATGACTTTGTTGACTATTGGAACGATCACAAAATCCGAACACAACGCAACAAAGCTTTACCCTCTGGAGTTTCACCCAAGTTTATATGTGGCTTTCCAGAGAGATTTGGTCTAACTCATTTCGGAACACCAGCCCCTCAGGACCTCGTTGACACACTGCACCAGAATATTCCAAAATCAAGGGAGGAATGTTATAGATGGGTCTCTGATGAATTTGAGGTCAGGGTGTCAGAGATTTATGACCATATCGGGGCTCCAAAGCTAGCACCAACCGAAGGATGGACAATATTTTGCCAAATGCTTCCTCATTTTGAGTAGTGTCATGCACAATATAATCGAGATGAATCTCTGAATAAATATGTATGAGGTGTTTTTTGTGCAGAAATGTGATTTGAGGTGATTTTTTTCCGAAACATGGTTGTAATGGTTGCGAACATTCATCCTGATTTGTGTTGAAGTAGAGTTGAAGGTGAGCAGAAAAGGAACAATGTAGCAGTCAAAATTGTGTTCTAAGGAAAAAAACACATAACCCTTAATCACGAAAGAAAGGTGCATACCAGGGAAATTGAACTGCAGGCCTCCCGAGTCCGAGCTATAGGCTCCTTCTGGGGGGCTTTGATATGAAGAAGGTGGCCAGCAGCAGAAGGTGTAGCAATCCCTTGTCACTGGACTCCAGGTTCACAAGTAAACCTATTTTGAGGCCCTCCCTCTCCTTCCATGCACTTGGAAGAAGTGCAAATAGGGGTTGATCAAAAGTCACCGGAACAAAATGCCGTTGTCAAAATGTCAAAATGTCAAAACATCAAAATTCAACCTCGACCATCCCGCCTACCGTACACTACGGACAAGCATTATTGAATATAGGTTCTGTCTGCAGTAGAGATGCACCTCATCGCCCCTCATCGCCCTCACCAAAGAAGAACTCCGAATCATCCCAAATTACGCGGTCTCGTCCTGCCTGTCGCCTCGAGGATATTAGTTGGTTCACTACCTCATTCAAGGTAGTGTTGCCGCGAGCTGAGGTCGAGTTGGCTCGAGGTGACGGTATTTCAAATTCACCGAGCCTCGATGCTCCACAAGCTCAGCTCGAGTCGGCTCGAGGTGATTCTATCAGTATTGCCTTAAATGGAACTTCGTTATCCCACGCCGTCCGGCCGCTGTCCGTCGCGTCGTTTTGGAGCCCTTGAGAGGTGTAAAATTGCAATTATATACTGACAATACTCGTGAACAATACAAAATTAAAAATGTACTTGAATAACAGCATTAAGGGTCGCAGAATAGAGTAAATTGGAAGTAAATAGAATTTTCACCGTTGATTTGGAGAAGTGCTAACACCCCATCCTTCCCAAGATGTGTTCAAAAGATCCACAAGCTCCTGGATCTTCCCAGTGGCTAGGAGCTCCTCAAGAACGTCGGGATCAACATCAATAACCGACAGTTCCTCCTCGGTTGCTACCCAACCCTGGTCGAAGCTAATCCTCCCGTTACGGTAGATAAACTTCAAGATCTGAAGCATCTCCATGACGGTAGGGGATAGATTTCCACGGCGTAATGCGTCTGTTTCCTTGCTCGAGGAAAAAACACGCTCACAAGGAACAGAGGATGCCTGAACAGGTAAAATATCAAGAGCAACCCGGAAGAGCATGGTGAATCGAAACTCGCGGCGCTGGAATGAAGGAAAGTCAATGAGTTTACGGTATAACCAGGGAAATTTCAAGACTTACCTGCCAGTAGCGAAGAAGGTCCAAATCCGCAAACTCCGGATTAGTTTCATCCATAACTCCCTCGGCTTCATATTGATCAATTTCTTCATCGACGAGCCGGCGATCTTCAAGTTCAGCCAGGCGCTCAGCCTCGGCTTTCTCACTCTCAGACATCTCTGTGGCAGGAGCCGTAGGTGTGTCAAAATCCGAGCCCGACAAGGACTTGGAGAGAGCGTGGAAGCGGACTAATCCGGAAGCCTGGGATCGTGCAGCGTGTGAGGCAGATGGGGGCTGAACAACACGACGAGAAGCGGTCGTGGGGATGGCCGGAGCAGGCCTTTGCTCTTTGGAACGCAAATCCTTGTGATATTCTAACATCTGGAATACAATCAGACTTGAGAGAAAAAAAAGAGCAAAGGGAGACAGTACCGCAGCGCGAAGAGACTCTTTAGCCGCGACATAATCACCGACGGTCCAATTCTCGCGGAGCCATTTGAGTTTGATCGTTGGATTTAGGACTGAACGTGAGGCCGTCAGAGCTCGAACTTGTGTGATACATCATATGAGAAACAATTCACTTACCCATTGCAAGTGAATGCCGTATACTCAGCGTGAAACCTTGTCGAAATGAGCTGCGCCAATTTGGTGCGATGAGGGATATCTTCGTCTTCCAGCTGTGTACCAATGAACAGGAGAAGATCTCGTAGTTCTGGACAATCCACAACATCGAGAGACTAAAAGAAGATCAGTAATAGTAAGGAGCTCGAATGATTGAAACTACCTGATCGTCAACGGCTATCCATTTTACAAGCCTCTCATAAAAGCCGGGGAGCGAGAATGGCTCGCGCTCACCAGCCGTGGTAATTCTCGAGGCCCCGAGCTTCTTCCAGCCTTTGAGTTGCTTTATCAAAACCATATCGCGCCAAACTTTCCCGTGCTCAGTCTCCAGATGATGCCGAATGGTGCCCGTCTGGCCTTCGACATCCTGCCAGGCCATCCAGTCGTCACCCCTTCAGTCCATCAGCGATATGAATCAATGGTAGGAAAATACACTCACTTGCAGAGCCGGCATGCCAGATGTGAGTAAGTCGCCTTGAGGGGCCGGTCGGTCGAAAGAACCTCCCGCTCAGGCAAAGATTCAATTTTGCACTCGAGTGGACGCCCCGAACAAAGTACCAGACATCAGTAGCAGCGGCAGAGCTTTTTTCTGCTTTATCCAGGAGCGAGCCCAGGTTTACACCCGGAATGTTGGTGAAACTGGGATGGTAAACGGGCTCGGAGGCAGCGGAAGCTGCGGCAGCAGCCTCAGCCGTGGATGGCCCAACTCCAAAGATGGCTGGTGCATCCGGTCGAACATCACAATTAAGTCGGCGTCGAGTATTCGCCTCCGAGTTCTGTCCCCGAGGAGCTGCGGTCCGTTTTCGTTTTGTTTGCCTCGAGGTGCTAGCGGCCGAATTCACCGTGTTTGTAGTATCACCAAGCGCAGGGCGAAAAGTCGTGGAAGTAGAGGGGACCGAATTGTTGCCGTAGGACGCCGGAAAGTTATTCTGAAAGGTAAATTGCTGTGGAACCTGGGCGGGGTCGTTGTACGGAACATAGGCCTGTGAATACTGCTGAGGCCATGGAGTATGGATGGGGTAGGGATACTGGGTGTAGAAACGCTGCGGAATCGGATTATTCTGAGAGAAACAAGTGCACGCCCGAGGGTCCGTGCACCGGCATTGGCGCATTGCCATGATATCGATGTACTTTCAAGATGGGGCGGGCGGGGTTCAGGAAAAAAAACATAGAATTGTCTCGATATTTAAGACATGCGAGGAGCCACAGTTTCAAATTTCTACACGTAGGATACGCGCCAGTGACGCGCCGCTAGTGAGAGCGGCGGTGTGATCGGTCATGCTCCACCGACGTCATATGTATGAATCGCACAGTGGCCCGTGGGTCAGTAAGCACGCACAATCCAGAGGAAAAGACTGGAGGAGAGAGCATTTAGGGGCCATATACGCAGCGGAAGAGGCAGGAGCCATATATGGAAGGAGTGTGGGCTCACCTCGAGCCAGATTGATGCGAGGTGAGCTCGAATGACATCGAGGTGCCGAATATAGTAACGCCCCAAGGCGAGCTGAAACTCGGCTCGATCCACCTCCACCTCGCGGCATCACTAATTCAAGGTCGACCGTGAAAGTATTACATCTCCCCGCCCTTGAGATTTTTTGTATTGGGGACGGAACCATTTTTCGGAAATTTAAACCCCTACACCAATCCGGATTTGAGTGATGGCTGCTGCTAGGTTGCATCAAAAAACACGAAAGAAATTGGAAGTCCTCGCGAACAATCCTGGCTTCATTTCGAGGCTCGACACTCACAGCGCTGGCGCACATGTGACCGCTCTTGGGTAATACAAAGGAGAGGCATTGGCGCACCGGTCATCGATATGTATGATTCAGGATATGATCCAGATGGCAGAGACGTATATCCCCGGATTGGTGTAGGGCCCTTGCGGTCTCTTTGGTCCCGTCACAACCCAAATACAAGCGCCATCGGCCGATGCGGCTTGAAGGTGACTGATCACATTATGAGGTTACAGAGGCAAGGGAACTACGGTAGGAAGGGTTGAACTGAACTGGGCGGTCACCGATATGGATTTGATGTGTTGAGTACACCGAAATGTATCTCCGGATTGGTGTAGGGGTTAACATTGCCGCCTCTCACGAAATTTAGATTATGTAATGTGATTACATAATCAGTGTCCGCGGCAGCCCGGGGTTCGATTCCCCGATCCGGAATCTTTTGTTGGCAGGTCTCTTTTTTTGCACTTTCATTTTTTTTCGGGGACGGGCGATGCCAAAACGTCGCCGGGATCTCAACATGCGAAAAGTTTTTTTTGGCTTCTCCATAGCAGGGCCGAGTACTCATACTCACCTATTGGCCGCAAAATAAGGTCAACCCTAGTATTCTCGTACCTTTCAACACAGCTGAACGTTGAAGTTGCCTATGTCAGCGATGAGCTAATTTTTTAAGGCTGCCGAAGCATAGGGTACTGGGAACTCCGGTCCATATAGACTGTTGTAGAATGCGGTAAGGATTTAGAGTTCAAAGCCGCTAGGTTGGAATCACGCCCCTCAGTTACTACTCTGGAATGCTGGCACCAGGTGCCGATGCTTGAAGTAACACCAACAGGGGACATGAAAAAAAAAGACACGACATTGGACCCACGGGTCAGACCTGCTCGCAATAGAAACTGAGAAAGGCATGCTTGAGTCTAAGTATTAAATACCCTTTGCGCGGGTTGACTGTGCTCATTCACGTGTAGATATGTTTTGGATCTGTCTGCCCGTTGCCGTGCACTCCGCAAAAAAAGTCAAATCAAATGGCATTCATACAGTTGTCGTTTCTCGTTCAAGTTCATGTAGTGAATCTCACACAGAGGCTCACAAGATGTACCTATATCCACTCCATTCATCTCCTTTCTCTCTTTTCGCGTCCTCGACCGTGTCGAACCGACCATTCTTCTCGTTCAGTTGAGAGTCGTCGGTTTTGCCGATGATTTCATCTCGTTCTCCCCGGTCGCGACGCGCGTTCTCCGCCCGTAGTGCGAAATGATAAGTCGTCGAGGCAATGATGCCGAACATGATGTACATGAGCACTAAACCTATTGAAAGACAGTGAGCTGTGTGCCGCACTAGAAATCATGGGGGACTTGCCATGACCAAGAGGGTACCAGGGTTTGTCTGCGGCGACATCAGTTGGACTTCCGGGCAATGATAGATAATACCTTTTGCTCGATACTGAACAAATAATTTATCAGAGAAGGAGAAAGTAGGTTTCATTTACTTACCACGTTCGAGCTGACGGCTCCATTGATATTGCCGCTGCGCAAACGTTAGAATTCCTCGTATAGATCGGAGAAATGGAACGCACAAGCTGATCACCATCGCCAGGGATACGCTACGCTTGTAGGATCCTAGGTCATTTTGAGATTTGGACCAAATTGTGATGAATAGAATAGACTATACCTTCAACGTTGTTTGATACCCAAGCAATCGAGTTGGCTGAAGAGGCGGAAAATCGACCTTAGCAATCGACTGATATTTTGACAAATACGCACGAATGACGGGGTAGATGCCGCTTAAATATGGTTGAATATCAAGGAATTAGCGTGGCGGCGATGTATGACGAACCAAGTAGCCATATACACGGCAAAGTATGATAAAGCCGCATTTCGCGAAGCAATGAGGATTATATATCCCGCGCCCCCTATTCAGAGGCTTAGCAAAGGATAGAGAATATTACGAGAGGACACAGCGCGCACCTATGCACAAGAAACCACTGAAACCAAGCCATTAAATGGTACAGATTGCCACCACGTGACTGTTCAACTTACATGTTAAAAAATCCTCGATGACCGTATCGGTCCGCTAAGAATCCAACGAGGCATCTATGGGAGATGAGGATCGAGGGTAATGATGGGGAAACATAATAATCACGTTATGCAGCAGGCAAAGAAATACACTGGAACCGTTAGCAGATTCGCGGGGGTAGCCTTGAATCCTGATAAACATTCAGAAGACATGTTTCAGCGACGAACGTCTATGATTACCGAGCTAAACAACTGTCAGACCGGAGGACACCAATTTCAAGCGGCGACGAACCTGATTGATGATGGAAGGCAGGAAAAGGGAGAACGCATATAATGGCTAAGAAAGAGTCGGAACTAACACCTTGAGAGAGTCCGACACCTACCATATCGGCCCCGACATAGATTGCCATGCCTAGTTAATGCCTCGTTAACGGGGATTCACCTTTTGTCCAAAGTTCTTACCGATCCAGGTCTTCCAATCGAGCAAACTCTTCCAGATATATTTCCATTTGAGAACCTCTCCTGCGGCCGAGAATTGGTCGTCCGACTGAAGCCGCCTGATCACAACGGTCCGTTCCGCTTCAGTAAGGAACTTGGCGGTGTCCGGGAAGTCCTGGATAATCCAGAACGACGCCGCACCCGCGAGTACAGTGGCCAAGCCTTCGAGAATGCTAGAGGGATATCGATCGGTTACTGTCTGAGTGAGTTACAAATGAACCTACAAAATCCACGCCCAGGCAGGCTTCCCAGCAACGCCTTCCATATTGGAGATTGCGGCCTGAAGCTCGGTTAAAACATGAACGACGCAATTAGACGGTCACTTACGGCAAGCAAACCACCGAATGCACCGGATACTGTGGCCGCCGAAAAGAATATCGCGGCCCTAATGCCAAACTCCGAGCGTTTGTACCAGCTGTAAGTTCACAGAGTTGTCAAGGATGTACGGATATTTTAAGAAAACCTACACACCATGACAGGTAGTAGTTTACACCTGGGTAGACAGTCAGTCTTTGACACCGCCAAGTATGTCAACTTGAACACTGACCTGGGAATAGTCCGGCCTCAAACGTCCCAAGCATCCACCTCATTCCTGGAATACGGCGGTTAGACATAGAACTACTAAAACGATGCGCCGTACCGACGAGACCACCAAAATTATGGACAAGTCCCTGGACGGTCTAGAAATTGTAAGATACTGAGCCTCGGAAAATTTGAAGGGCTCACCATCATAACTCCCCACAGCAGCATCAGAAGTGATAACCAGATGGACGGGCGTAAACGTTTCAAGAATACATTTGACGGAACCTACTCGACATGAGCAACAAAGAACAAAAGATGATCGAGAGACACCAGCCTCGAAAATAGCATAACTAGAGCAGTAACTTCAGCGACGCTCCGAAAAATTCAGAGGGCTCACCTAAAGAAAAACACCGTCAAAGAAATCAGGTATTGGTCGTCTGTCATGTGGAGGTCCGCTTCCAGATTGTACAACTGCGCTTTTTCAACGATAAATCCACAAAAATGCGGGGAGTTCTACCTTGGCACTAGATTCAAAGGCTAATAAGTCAAATCGTCGCAAGGAATCGACCTTCAAGTTCTTACTTTCCGATGCTTGTGCGATCTAGGAGAACGAGATGTATCACTGGTTCCAGTAAGGAAAGTAGTAGGTACTGTACCTAGAAAGCTCAGCAGGTACAAGAGACTGAGCCAGCGTCAGAAAGGCCGAACTGAATCAATGACGACGACGTGCCTGAGCCAAGGGATGAGTGCCATATCCAGCTTCCGAAGCAGCTTGCGTTCATCTACACCGCTCGTATCCACATCTGCATTATAAACCGGAGGTTGAACAGGCGTAGCAGTGTCGGACGCGGGGGGGGAGGTCTTGGTGTCCATGGTGGTTTGGGAGAGCCAGCAAGATCATTCGTTTATCAGTCTAGCGTAATGGCCTTATTACGAAGCTTTTCATTTGGTGTTCGGCGGTCAGAAGGCCAATTGAGCTCGTCAACAACATATCAGGCTGTGACATATGGGGTTAGTGATCTTCCACGCTTTCCCTCGACATCCTTTTGCATCCTTCATTAAACATCTGACAAAATTTAAGCAACGTACTCAGGTTGGCTCCATATCTTTCTCAACTGGATGTAAACTTACCGTGGTTCTTCGATTGGCGTGCAGAGTGGGTCCAGAGAATTTTTCGCCTTTACGCCGGACTCAGCTGACCGTTTCTCTCCATTTCTTAACGCTGTCAGAGGTGGACGCGGTTATCAAAGTATTGCCCCACTCGTACTACCCGGCATCGCGGACTTCCATGGAACGCCGTTGCCTGCCGTGGCTTTTGAATGGGTCTTTTTCAAGTGCACCAGGTCGAAGTACCTTCAAAGCTTGCATGCCAACCTCAAGCTGGCAGTACTGTAGGACCAGTACGTCGTGGGATGACATCGGGATCGCGGAGACGGACCACCGCTTCCCAGGTTGAACGGTCGATCTATAATCCGTGAAGCTCCCATCTTTCCCGAAATGGAGACATAAATAGTCTATCTGACATATGCAGAGCGGCGCGTGGCGTCCGCGTCCAACTCGGAGCCTAGACGGGAACTTCAAGCTGGAGCAAGCCGGCTGGTCTGAAACCACAGGGCCTCTATATTGTCCCAGGCTTCTTGTCATATCCTTGCTTCTTCAAAAGTGGAGTAACAGCCACCAGGCACCTGGAATCTCTTCTCAGGACTTCCCAGGCTCTCAGGAGGACTTCCCAACCAGTAATCATGAAGCGGCGCTGATAAGGCTTTCGGCTTCCATCTTTGGGGGCGTGGGAGAGCGACAATGGGATTGAAAAGACTCATTTTATGATTCAAGCCTGTGGATCGAATATGAAATTCTACTCTTTTCTATGCCATTCGAAGGACTCTGCTCGTGCGTTGTACTCATTCTGGCATCTCCAAATCCGACCCGTGACGAAACCTGGGAAAAATAAAGCCTCGTACGGGCCGCATGCTGTCATGGTTCTTCTATCGCAACAGCGCCAAACCCAGCTTTCTCCCACTCACTACACCGTATGGAACCGGATATCAAGGACTCACCTAAGCACTCGGTGCAAATCGTTGAGGAGAAGGGTTCCGTTGAGCCCGAGCAGACGTTGTACAATGCTCATATCAATACAGCTGAAATCGACGAGCGGAAAGTCATGCGCAAAATCGACCTGCGGTTTATCCCGTGGTTCTCCCTCCTGTACTTGCTCAGTTTCCTTGACCGGACGAGTATTGGGAAGTGAGTGCATGCTTCAGTAATATTTCGAAGCTAACCAGCGAGTTCTCAGCGCAAAAGTGCGTCAAACAATACACAATTCTGTTAAAGCCTTATCGCGACGCCGCAGCTGTATAACTTGGAACGGGACCTCGAAATTTCAGACAACCAATATTTGATATCTTT